AAAGTCCAAGACGCTAATTTTCAACTCATAATTTTTCTTCCTTGTATTTCTATTTTAGGTTCAAAGTCAAGGCTACTGCTTAACACTATGGTAGGACTTTAAACATAACTGAGGAAAAACCATTTTAAAGTATCATTAAAAATATTTATGATTTTATATATGTAATTTTTTTCTTTAAATAATAAAAACAGTTTACCAGCTAAGTCAATACCACAGATGGAGTTCTGTGGAAATCGTATTTGGCAGCAATCTTAGTTTTTTAAGAGTTCCTGGCTCCTGTAACAAAGTAAGAAAGTAGGCCCTTTTCTCTCCACCACGAAAATTTGTTGGAATGCATAATGCACTTTGTCCTCCATACCTATAAAAGCTGCCAGTGTTATAACAGGCATACCACTATGAAGACACTAGAATGTCTCAGAATATGCTGAATGATAGTTTTCAATATTTTTTGGAAGCTAGAGTTAGGTGGTATAACTTAAGGGGGAAAAAATGTAGCTATATGTGACCACTGACTATCAGCAAGAAAATTTCACTTCTATACTTGTTCTTAATGGGTAACATAAGAATTTCCTTCATACCTTTAAACTGAAAATTTCTCTCCAACCTTAATTTGTTCTTTTCACTTTTGTCTCTGATTCCTGTAGTACTTTAAGGAATCAAGTTTAATTTATTTCCTTTAGGAAGGATGATGGTGCTGACAGACTTAGTGCTGAGGTGAGTGGGGTCTTGATGTTTCATTAATTTACTTCTTTTGCTTCTGATCACTCTATAGTAGAGGCTGTATCAAACAATGTATCTTTCATAAACAGAAATTCTCACTTTTGATAGTTTTTATCACAGTATTTTTAGATTTCAAATGGTAGATTAAAAGAAAAAAGAAAAAAATGCATTTCGGTTACCAAATTTATGTATGCATATATGTTCTCTTCTCAATTTGGAAAAAATATTTTCCTATCATTCTAGTGCCTAGCTCAACTTATTTTTCTACTCTAAAACGGTATTTCCAGGAGCATTAGAAAAATCAGTTTCATTGCAGGAGACAGAGATATTTCTTTCCTTTTTCTTACCATACCACATAGAGTTTAGAAAAGATACTTGCTTAAAGATCGGGATTACTCAGGCCACCCCGTTTAGTAACTGCAGAGTGTTTGTGAACTATGTAGGGTAAAAGCAGAAAAGATGTATTTTCCAGCAAAGGCCTCCTTTGTCTTGAATTAAGTGAATGAAACACTCGATCAAGATTGTGTCACTGAGCCAGGCATGGTGGCTCATGCCTGTAATCCCAGCACTTTGGGAGGCTGAGGCAGGTGGATCGCCTGAGGTCAGGAGTTCAAGACCAGGCTGGCCAACATGGTGAAATTGCGTCTCTACTAAAAATACAAAAACTAGCCGGGCGTGGTGTCATGCGCCTGTAATCCCAGCTACTCAGGAGGCTGAGGCAGGAGAATTGCTTGAATCCAAGAGGTGAAGGTTGCAGTGAGCTGAGACTGCACCACTGCACTCCAGCCTGAATGACAATGAGACTCCATCTCAGAAAAAAAAGACTGCGTCACTGGGTGATAGGTCCATCTGGATCAGTACCAGTTCCATAGTAAACAGAAACAAGGAGAAAAGCTGGAGAACACTACCAACCCCAAAACTGTGCACACACACAGATAATGCAAGACTATGTAATCATACAAATGTTATAAAATTCTGTATGTATGTAGGTATGTTTAAAGGAGGTGATTATCAAGGTTGTTAGAGCTGTCCGAAGGCTGTTAAGCAATTTGAGTGGCAGATTCTGGAGAAATCTGCTTTCTTGGTAGGCTTAAACTCTCAAACCAGAGACTTCTCTCATCAGAAAGTTTTTTAATTTTTACTTTTAGGTACCCTCCGAAGGTGCTCTCTACTTCTATCCAGGGTGTTACTTTAGAGTTCTTTCTTTCTTTCTTTCTTTTTTTTTTTTTTTTTTTAAGACAGAGTCTCACTGTGTTACCAGGCTGGAGTGCAGTGGTGTGATCTCGGCTCACTGCAACCTCCACCTCCGAGGTTCAAGCAATTCTCCTGCCTCAGCCTCCTGAGTAGCTAGGACTACAGGTGCATGCCACCACATCCAGCCAATTTTTGTACTTTTAGTAGAGACCATGTTGTTTCACTATGTTGGCCAGGCTGGTCTCGAACTCCTGACCTTGTGATCCACCCACCTCGGCCTCCCAAAAGCTGGGACTACAGGCGTGAGCCATTGTGCCCGGCCCCTAGTTAGAATTTTGACTCTGCCCTTGTCCTTTGACAAGTTCCTTAACCTATCTGTTCTTCAATGTTTTAATCTAAAAAATAATACTAGTGCAAGTAAAAGGGCCCTAAGGTTTGCCTTCTATGTTTAAGGAAGAGAGTAAAGCCAGGAGGGCTGGAACACAGTGAGCAGGTTGTGAGCAAAAGGAAAAGAGCTGGGGGGAGAAGCTGCTGATCCTGGAAGACTTCATAGCTTTTACGCTGAGTGCAACAGATAGTGATCATGTGCAGAGGTGATATGGTTTTTAACAGTATCTCCCTGGATGCTGAGTTGAAAGAAGACTGCAAGGAGGCAAGGACGAGAACAGGTAGGTCACTGCAATAATCCATTTGAAAGGTGATGATTGCTCAGACCACAGTAGTGATGATAGGGGAAGTAAGAAGTCACAGGCCACGTGTGGAGATAATGCCTGTAATCCTAGCACTTTGGGAGACTGAGGCAGGCAGATCACTTGAGCCCAGGAGTTCAAGACCAGCCTGGGCAACATAGGAAGACCTTGTCTGCAAAAAAATACAAAAAGTTAGCTGGATGTGGTGGTGTGTACCTGTAGTCCAGCTACTAGGGAGGCTAAGGTGGGAGCATCACTTGAGCCCAGGAGGTTGAGGCTGAAGTGAGCCGTGAACATGCCACTGCACTCCAGTTTGGACGAAAGAGTGAGACCCTGTCTCCAAAAAAAAAAAAAAAAAAAGAATAGGAGGAGGGGAATTGGAGATAGCAAGTTTATGAAACACTTTATTTTCACATTCTAGTTAAACATGAATATAATATCTTTTTAATATTAAATATGAATGCCTATTTTACTTGAAAATTTCCCTTATCAAATTATCTTCATAAAAAATTTGCTACTTGAGAATCAGCAACTATCCAACCATAGGACACCTGATGTTTTGATGGAAGGAGAGGAAGAGAAGACGATTTTGGGAGAAGAGGAGAAGTAAGTTATCAGTGGAAAAAATAATAGTATATAACATTTATAAACTGCAGAAACTAAACAAAAATGTTTGTAGTTAATCACAGATATATGGAAAATAAAAGTTTTAACACAATTTCTAGGGCAACTGAAATGACTCATGTACTCCTAAAATGCACACACACAAATACATGCGCACGCATACCTAGGATTCACTTTACGTTTGGGTAGAGCCCTGGGTACTTTATTTTTGAGATAGGGGTCTCGATATGTTGCCCAGGCTGGAGTGCAGTGGTGTCCTGCAACCTCAATCTTCTGGGCTCAAGCAGTCCTCCCACTTCAGCTTCTGAGAAGCTGGGACTACAGGTGGGTGCCACTGCACCCAGTTAATTTTTTAAAGTTCCATGAATGATAATGGAATTCGAAAGGACCACAACCCAGCTTGGATTAAGAATCACTAGTGTAGCTGTTTAAAACATAAAATAAGGCAAAACAATTAGGAACCCCTAAGAGACTCAGCAGCAAAATCACTTGACCAGAAATGTAAAAAAGGATGAGGATATTAGTGATAGTAGGGGCTGCATGCTGCCTAAGGGTGATGTTACAGTATTTTCCAACCTACAACTGATACATGAAACAATTCCCTGCAGACACATATATGACTAAGAAACGCCTTTACTCTAAAAGATTCAGTTCATCTACAAACTGGCACAAATATTCAAGAAAACGAGTAACCTCCACCTTCTTATCTAAATGAATTTATTTAACAGTCCTACTGAAAATTATGTAACTTAAGAGGTTAGATAAAACATATGACAGAAATTTCCCTATTTGAATTAGTATAGACATAATGTAGTATTATGCCAATATCAGTCTATTTCAGAAAAGGATAATCAATTGAAATAGATTTGAAAGTAATGTCCTTACAATTCCATATAAAAAGAAATACATTAACCAACATTTAAGGGAAGATGAAAGGGATGAATATCAGGAACAAGATTCAAACTTCTTTGATGTAAATTATTCTAATACTTATGTAGCAATAGATTTAATAAAATAAGTCAAAAATGTTGTATTAGAAAAAGGAAGAATTTCCCCCGACCCCAGAGAAGGGTCTCACTCTGTTGCCCAGGCTGGGCAGAGTGGTACGGTCATGGCTCACTGTAACCTTTGAACTCCTGGGCTCAAGCAATCCTCCTACCTCAGTCAACCCAGTAACTGGGACTACAGCTGTGTGCCACCATGCCTGCATAATTTCTAAACTTTTTGTAGAGACAGAGTCTCCCTGTGTTGCCCCAGCTGGTCTCAAACTCCTGGGCTCAAATGATTCTCCCACCTTGGTCTCCCAAAGCACTGGAATTACAGGCATGAGCCACCATGCCCGGCCACGAATTACTTATTCTTCAAATATCTGGTCAAAGAAGGCAAATTTACCATATTAGTCAAGACAGTCAACTAGTTGCTTATTAAAATATGTTTCCAGGAATTTTTATTTACAGAAAATTTAAAGAGAAAGTCAGCATCACCACAGGTATAAGAAAAGAAAGTGTTATAAACATTAACAAACCAACCAACCAGAGTTGGTTACTCTGAAGAGCTGATAACCCAATTACTCAAACTTCCAGTTTTATAATAATAAAATAAAATTAAAATTAAAATGTATATGTATAATACTCTCAAATGTTACAATAACATCATTTGGGGCAATATTTAAACAATGAAATAATAATGCTAACACCCATTTCTGTTGTGAAATCAAACGTACACCAACAAGCCCAGCATGGAAAACTATCCCACCTTTAGTATTCATATTACCTTGTGTGTAGGCAGCATCGTCAGATCCCATACTCAGTTTCCGTGTTTCACTTATTCTATCCACATGTGCTAACGTAGGGTCCGTGAGGTGCTGAATATTCTCGGTTTCTACATAATGATCAGGATGATTTAGAAGATTTGTAAGTTCAAAGGTAGGGGACACTACCCCTGGTGAAACTGCAGGGGGTTTATTGGGAGAAACTGTAATTTTGAAAGTGTATTTTGTATTGGGCTGAGTGACTACCACTCGAGGAGAAGTTGCAGAGTTATTGCCTATTGCTCGACTTTTGGGAGGATGGTGATGAATAAAGGCAGGACCCATGCTCACTTGCCCAGACATGTTCCTGGAGGCAGCAGATGCTCCAGAGTTTGTGGATATGAAGAGTGTGGGCTGATTCCGCATGACCTGTTCATCTCCTGTGGTGGCATTAGCTGAAATATAGACCTTAGGTTGACTACGGGACATCAGCTCATCCGTATTTGGGGGGCTGGCAGCTATGTAAACAGTGGGCTGATTTCTGTTTAAGGTTTGGCTATTGACTGAAGAGGAAGTGCTGGAGGTTCGAGGTCCAGAAGAACGCAGTTTTGAAGAATTATTTCTTTGCGGGGGTTCAAGTTTGATTTCAATCTGGTTTTTTCGAGGTCCTGTTGAAATATTCTGAATGTTATATTGGCTATGGGCAGAAGACTGTGAGCTACCAGATGAATGAATGGTGGGTGGTTGTGAAGTAGTAGGTGAACTGATTGGCATGTAGACATGAGAGGTCTGGTGGCCTTGCTGATTTGGCTGCTGAGATGAGGTATGTGACAGAGGATTAGATGCAGGACAAGTAGTCCAGGGACCAGGCTGTGAAGGTTGATAAACTTGCTGAGGGTTCATGGGATTAAACTGAGATACCCAGCCAGAATGCTGTTGTGTCTGTCGAGTTGTACCACCAGGAGTTGTAATGTAAGGCCTAATATAGATAGAATTTCCCTGTGGACTGTTAAGTACAGGTGGAGGTACACCATGTATGTGCAAAGATGTAGGAGTATTACGACCAGTCTGGATATTTGGGGCTAAAGTTACCATAATGGGATTAAATCTGGGAGTTTGTTGAGAAAGGCTAGATGTTCCTTTGCTGCCTAAGTGAAATCCAAGATGTGGTGCTGAATTTGAAGCACCAGAAGAACTGGACATTCCAAAAACATTAAAGCCTTGAGGAACTTGAGCTGGTGCTGTCTGTGGCTCCTGCTGAAATAGTTCACTATTGGACTGGCCACCTTGAAGTTGTCCATCACTAATGCTGTGCGTTAGAGTCCTACTTCCATTCATCCTACTTCCTTCTCTTCCATGGTGGTAAATGTTCTGTGATTGCAAGTCCAAGTTGAGAGAAGTCATGTGATTGCGTAGACCAGAAATTCCAGAATCATCTGAAAAATTCAAGTCTCCTTCACCATAAAGATATCTTGTACTCTCCTGAGAGAGAACAGCACAGCAGGCATCCAGGTTATTATTATTCTATGAAACAAAATAAATTGATTGATGTTAACAATCAGAAGCTAATGCTTGTATTTGCATCTCTACAAATACATGATGAACAAGTGACTGGCTAATACAATTATAACACATATTTGGATATTTAAATTTGAGAAGTATTTTTATGCAAATGATTGAATTAAAAATCCTTACTACTAATATAATAGAAAAGCTCTGACTAACAAAGTGAATCAAATCATTGTTCCACTTTAGCAGCTACAATGGATAAAAGGAATAAAATGGATTCAGACAGATATATTAGAATTATAATCTAATTTAAAAGGCAATTTTAATGTTGAACAAAATATAATCATTCAACTTACGTACATAATACTGTATAAACATTTTTAAAAAAGCTAAATAGAAAAAATATCAATGTTTGATATATAGCACAATGTATCAAGTGCTATACACATTTGTTTAAACTAATAAATGTTTAAAAAGTTACATTTGTAGCATTTAAAGTTCTGAAATTCACACCAAAGTCATCTCAATTCTTCCCATGCTTCCTCTTAACTTGTGTAATCTCTCTCTCTCTCTCCCCCTCTCTCTCTGGAGGCTCAAGGTAGCCTCCAGAAGAACTAGTTCCTATCTCTGCCTTTAGACAACATCATAAAAATCTACTCGAGGTGGGGGGGAACCCTCAGATTGTTTTTAAAGAATTCTCAAAAGACACTGACTAACCAGTAGTCATAAATCATCCACGAAAATGTTTGCCAAACACCTCCTATATGCATAGCACTGTGAGCCTGTGGAAGAATCAAAGACATATAAAATCAAACTTTTCCCCTAGAAAGGAAGACAAACCACAGATATCTGAAAAGGTAACATGAGTACATGCCAAATATTAAGTGGTGATGAAGTTCAACAGAGAATTAATATTGTAGGCTACTGAAGAAAGGAATGGGTTAATGAGGAAGGTATGGCCTGATGTTTTTCATAGAATATGCAGAACTTCAACAACAACAACAACAACAACAACAACAACAATTCTTAGTGAAGCGAATGGCACAAGTAAAGAACATAAATGTGAGAGTTAAGTAAAAGCATGTTCCAAACAAGGTGGCTGGAACAGATCTGGCTGGAGCTAAAGATTTGTAATGAAAATGTTGTTGAACAAATTGTTGCAAAAGCAGATTGGATTTAAATAACGAAGGAGTTTTGAAAAATGAGTCACACTAGAGTTTGACTGTATTATAAGCAATGAGGCAAGCTACTGAAAGTGGATGAACAGAGAAGTAAAAACATAAAGGGTATTCAGGGAAGAGAAGTCTACTGATACTTAAGATGAATAAAAAGATGAAAAACCTTTGGCAAGATGACCAGTTAGAAGACATAAAGTAATGAGAGTTTGATAATGGAAATAAATTTTAAAAGAATATAAATTGTCAACACAATCTGGCCACAAGAGAGAAAGAATTCAAATAAGCCTGGAAGATTAAGAACCTGACAGAAAGGAGAGTTTTAGACTTAAGAAATATGAATAACCAAGTTAAAATGTCCACAGGCAGTTTGATATGAGATAAAATAATATTAAGAAAGAAGTAGACTAAAAAGGCATCCTGATGCCTTGTTAAGGAAATGACAGCTCACATTGTTTCAACCGGTAATTTAAAAGGATAGTGAGCAAGGTTTGACTTCCCCCTTCCTAAAACCAACAACTTAAATCTCTCATGCTACAGAAATCCTTTTATCCTACTAATAACTCTGAATTGATACATACTAATTTTTCAAATAAAGTTGAAAAACTGATCACAATCTTTATCAATGATTCCTTATTAAAATTAGATCTTATCTTTTGCCAAACCTGATTGGTGCTTTTTGCTTTAAGTTAAATTTATTGCCATTCGAAGTAAATTCGTCTTCCTTCTTAGCCAAAGCTCGGAGACTTTATCTTCTTCTCACCTCCTCTCTGTCATCATTCTCAAATTAAAATTTACATTCCCTACCAAATTCAATTCCACACCTCCTTTGTAAAAGTTTGATATTCATATTTAGTCTTCCTCTTTAATTCTCTTGAGCACTCAAAAATCTTTCCCTTTAATCCTTTGTAATCTCTGTAATTATTCAATATGTTCATATTAAAAAGCAATATTCTAGCTCAGCTATGCCATAATTTATGTGCACTCAAATTATTTACACTCTACAGACATTACTTTCTTATCAGCAAAACATAAAAGAACTTACAGGGGTTTTATAAGGTTACAAGAGGAGAAAATGAAATGTACTTTTTATTAAAATTTTTATTTTAGAAAATTTTAAACATACATAAAAGTAGAGAGGAAATATGATAAACTCCCACATACTTATCACCCATCATTTTTCATTTGATATATATGCCTCAGCTACTCCCCCTACTGCAACTAGATCAAGTCTCAGACATCATCTCGTTTTCATCTGTAAATACTTCAATATGTACTGTAAGAGACAGGGACTTAAAAACATAACCACAATGCCACGATCATACCTTAAAATAATCAATAATTCTTAGTATCACCTAATATTCAAATAGCATTAAATTAAAGCATAAAAATGTCTTTGTACAGTTAGTTTAAATCGGGATATAAATAAGGCCCACATATTTCATTTGGCTGATAAGCCTTTTAGGTTTCTTTTAATAACCAGCCCATCTCCTCTTTTAAAATATTTTCCAGTCACTTGTTTGTGAGAAAACTTGGTATTTGTGTAGCAGAATTTCCCCTATTCTGGACTGCACCCCGTGGTCAATCAATTTCCCCTGCATTTCATTGTAAACTAGTAGTTATATCTATGGATGTGATCAAGTCCATGTTTGAATTTTTGGTGACCATCATAGACGTCCACTATCAAATCACACAAGGAGACACAGGAATGTTTGCCTGTCTTTTTGTGATTTTAAAACTGACTGGTAGATTCAGATGTTGTCAGCTGGATCCAACTAATGATTTTTAGCAGCTATTGATGATCATTGCTTAGAAACACTATTTCATTAGGGGTGCTAAACAGTAATACTGCAATGTTCCAATTGTAAGATTTTGGCCAGGCACAGAGGCTCACACCTGTAATCCCAGCATTTTGGGAGGCCAAGGCGGGATAATCGCTGGGCCCAGGAGTTTGACACTAGTCTGGGCAACACAGTAAGACCCTGTTTCTAAAAAAAATTTTGTTTTTAATTAGCCAGGTATGGTAGTACACCTGCAGCCCCAGCTACTCAGAAGGCTGAAGTAGCAGGATCACTTGAACCCAGGAGGTTGAGGCTGCAGTGAGCCACGATCATCCTACTGCTGCATTCCAGCCTGGGTGAGAGTGAGACCCAGTCTCCAAAAAAACATAAAAAGGATTTAGTCTTCATTCTTAGCAGCAATTCTTCCTTGAACACTTGCTCTCTTCAACTGTTTGGTTATGTTCTGCACCGAAGAGGCAGGATAAAAAAATTCTTTTCACCAGTTGCCAGAATAGTAAATTTGGTCCCTAGGAACCTCCAAAGGTGACTATGATTTATTTTTAGTATCATTATAAACTCGTGTATCTTTAATATTTTGATGTGTTTCAGGTTACTGTGAACAGCTTCAAGTTGGCTCCTGGATATATGACATGAATCCAGTAGTTTTTCAAAGCTTCTCTGCTTTCTGATATGACAAGATGTTCCAGCTCATCATATGCATCTACTCCAGACTTGGAATCAGCCATTTCTCAAAGAAGCCCTGGTTACTTTTAGTGAGAAAGCGTAGAGGACTCTCTTGGAGTGTATCAAAAGGGGTGGAATATGAGTTTTTAAAAGGTGGAAAATCACTGCTTTTTGGTATACAGCCACAAATCTGCATTCTCTTCAAAGCTATAAAAAGGTCTGAATCATTAATTCCAGTTTCTCTTTCATTTTTCCCCAAACTCCTGCACAGACACAGAAATTACAGATAGTATCAAAGTATATATACCCTACAGCATTCATTCACTCCTTTAACCAACATTTACTGAGCAAGGAGAAAGGAATATGATCGCTGATCGCCAAGAATCTCACAGTCTAGTAGAGGAGATTAACGTGAACACAAATGAAATGCAGCATGGTAGGTGTCATAGAAATATGGGTAAGGACGATGGGTGAAGGTCATTTGAGAAGGTTCCACTAAGTACATGGCACTTAAATATTAAGTGTTGCATATACTGAATGAACAATACTTATTAATGCAATACTTTGAAAAGAAATACCAATTTTAAACTTACAGATTCAATCGTCCTGTTAAGAGAATTTAAAAACAGTAAAAAATTCAGTTAAAAAATCAAAGTGAAAACTATGCAATATTTTCATATTCTTCCAAGGTTTAAGATTTAATTATCAAATATAAAAATCAACTTTAAAGATACAAATTACACCTGCTGGTTATAAGCTATCTTAGAGAATTCACAGTAGAAGGAAGAGATATGAGTAGTTTCAAAAAGAGGGAACTGTGCAACAGATAAACTTAAGAAGAGAACAACAGAGGATAGATACTTTTGTTCTCTTCCTGACAAGCAAGATGTCTATAAAGAACATGTACACAGAACTGGTAGCATGGCATGATCCCTCATTATTTTTAAAAAGTTCTGAACCAGTATACTGTAGGAAGGGTCTGTCAGAAGAACAGAAACCCACCCAACTGAGAAAGGAAGAGCAGCCCCAAAAGAGACGCTGTCATTTAGAGGTAGCTTAATTTGCCTTTTCAGTTTAAAAATACTGCTCTAAATTTGGGAAAACTTGCACCCTAGTTGTAACCCCAGAAGAAGGAGCTCTTCCTATGCCTTTCTTGTCAGATTTCTTGTTATATCAGCTAAAAAGTACATTACCTGGATACCCTAAATTATTATCAACTCACTTTTAAAAAGTGTGGTCTGTTTCAGGCAAGCAAAATATTTCATTTTAGTTAACACGAGGTGTTGGGAAGCATGCTAAGTAGAGGAGTTTGCTTCTGTAAAGCCAGATTAACATTGTGAAGGTGATATTACTAGATGCCCAAAGGAAATGGAAAACCATTCATTTCTTATTTTTGGGTTAAAGCTGAAAACATGCTTAATTATTTTACTTTTAAATAGGTAATTCATTGACACAGGTTAAAACAATAAAAAAAGATAACTGTTGAGAAGTCTGAGTCCTAACTCTGTCCCATCTGGCCTGTTCCCTCTGGCCTACTATGGATAACTATCTTTTATTAATTTCATTTTTAATTCTTCCAGTATTTCTTTATGCAAACAGGGACAAATACATGGGTGTGTAGACATTTATTTGCCTCGTTCCATCTATATACTCTGCTCCGCATCTTGTTTTTCTTAACACGTACTGGAGATTATATTGTAAGAGTGCATTAGAGCTCTTTTTTTTTTTTTTTTTTTTAAATATTTTAAAGTAATTCTACAAAAGGCTCTATGTTTTACTCCCAGTTAGGGTATTTCAAAATCTCTATACCTGTACTATATGTAGGGAAATGTTCTGGACAGTTCTTTCAAAACGAAGTCTACAGAAATTTATCAAAGAACTTATAGTTATCTTCCTGTTAGTTTTTAAATAACCTACTGAATAGCATAGCTTTTACCACAAAATTCTCTTTTATTTGAAAAGTTAGGGAGAAGTTACTTGGGTTCTAGGGGGGAGACTATTTTTCCCCACTATCTCTGCTCCTTTCCCACACTTTCTTTTAACTTCTGACTCCATCCTTATTACCTGTTTTTATTCTCTCATTTTTTTCACATTCTATATTAACAAGTGTAAACTATTGATTCATTTACCAAATATATATTATGGGCTTTCTGCTGTTGTTATTCCTTTTAGTACTGGCTGCTAACATTTATTGAATACTCATTATGAATCAGTTACCCTATTGGTTGTTTTACCTACATTGTCAAATTTAACTCTCTGTTAAGTTTTTTTATTCCCACTGTGCAGTTGAGGAAATGAAAGTCAGAAAATGAGGGTCAGAGAAGTTAATTATGTTACTGCTAGTAACTGTCAAAACTTGAACTCAGTCTGGTTTATTGCCAAAAGATATGCTCTTAACCATTATACCATAAGAAAAGGCATTGCTGGTGGGAGAATTCCATGCAGCTCAGGATGACTAGAGCATACGGTATGAAGAGGAAGGACTGGACAAAGATTAGGGTGTAGAAACAGCCAGGATTCCAGATCACAGACCTTGTATGCCCTAGTCAAGCTATATAAGCGTCATTCAGAAGGGCACAGGGAACAATCAACAGGTTTTAAGTGTGTGAACAGCTCTGCACTCTGGCAGAAGAGGATAGATTGGAGAGACCAAAACTGGGTTAGGTAAAGCAGGTAGACCAATTAAAAGGTGATAACGGTGATAAGGGTGTGAACAAAATGTAGTCATTTAATATAAAGTATAGATTCAATAAAAATTTCATATAATTTCAAACTTTAAAAATCACTTCAAGAGTAAATATGCTTGACTGAGCCCCAGATACCTTTTTTTTTTTTTTTTTGAGATAGGGTCTCTTTCTGTTTCCCAGGCTGGAGTGCAGTGGCATGATCCCAGCTCACTGCAACCTCTGCCTCCTGGGTTCAAGCAATTCTTGTGCTTCAGTCTCCTGAGTAGTGGGACCACAGGTGTGGGCCACCACGCCCAGTTAATTTTGGTATTTTTAGTAGAGACAGGGTTTTGCCATGTTGGCCAGGCTGCTCTTGAACTCCTGGCCTTAAGCAATCCACCCACCTCAACCTCCCAAAGTGCTGGGATTATAGGAGTGAGTCACAGCACATGGCCCCAAATACATTTCTGATACAAAGATTTTCAGTTTAATAAAACAGAAAGGCACAACTATCATTCAATATTTGGAATTGTGAATTTCTAAAATTGGGTATACTAAGAACAAGGTACAAATTAGAGGGTTAGTGATATTAATTGGAAAACTTACAAATTAAATTTAAAAATATAAAAACAGACTTTTTCCCCACTTTGGAATTGGGACCTTAGGTATTGTCTAGTCAAACTCTTTTATTTTACGGATTAAAAAAACCTAAAGCACAGAGGGCATACTCTTTATCAGATATGCTTGGGGTGCCCATTTAGGATTATAACCCAAGTTTCCTGACTCCTTAATCATTTTTCTCACTTTCATACTAAGATCTGAAATTAGCTCTTCTGGCAGAACAGGTGGGAGAAAAGTTAAGACAGCTCATATCTAGTAAGTACAGAGATTATCAATGCTTTACATTCAGATCTCATTTAACTCTCACATCTACTCTACATGTTAAGTATTATCTATACTACAGATGGTACAGAAAGCTCTATCTTGCTGAAGGCCACATGACTATCAGACACCAAAGCTTCTCTCTTTTCATCATAGTACACTAATACCAACAAGAAGATAACCTAAAAGACCTTTTCTTCCAATGTTTAAAAAAAAAACAGGTTTGTATTAACAAATTCAGAAATCATTGAACACTGACCTGTAACATGCACCTGGATACAACAACTTCAGGTACTTCAGGGAATTTTTGTCGCAGGTCATGTAAAACCTGAAAATCAATTTGGTGGCTTCCTTGGGCCATTCGTATATTGCCTGATCAAGACTATTTGTACAGTAGGCAATTCTAGGCCTTAGTGGAAATAGTACTCATCTCTTCTGTCCAAGCATTTTCTGTGAAAGAAAGAAAAAAAAATTTTAATGAGAACTGATTATAGAAGGAATATTGTGGATTTAAAATTTCAGTACAAAAGAATATGTGCTTTAGCACTTAACATTATAAACTATAAAAATATTTAGACCTAAAGTGCTTTCCATATAGTTATACTATCTTTTTAGTATTAACTCTGATGGTAAACTTTTATATTGTCTAACTCCTATATATTTATATGCTCTATAAATGGCTAAGCCAAAAAACATTCAAATAAGAAATTACTGTCAAGGTTGTCTTCCCAGAGTCTTTTAAAAAGGGAGAAGGAATAGCATCACTGATTTTTTTCTTAATGATTACCTCGAGGTGAGTAATCTAAATTCTTAAAGTTTGGATACTGAAAAAATATGTTACGACAAATGACTCTGTTTTGTCTAAAACTTAATGATTCAAAACCCAATGCATTCAATATTTTGCTTTATCTTTCAAATATACTTAATCCTTAAATGCACAATCAATTCATTCTCAGGAGCTTAGTAGCATTTTATTCCCTCTGCTTCTATTAAATCAGTATTTTAAAAATACTAATATTTCTCAAGGGGTTTGACTTAATTGGCTGAGCAGTGAGCAGCCTGGGTATATGGAGTTTTATAAGATCCCAAGGTGATTCTAACGTGTGGTCGAAGTTGAAAACTACCTACCTTATTTTTATTCCTGTTGTTTCTAATGTAAACCATGTTTAATGTTGAAAAATCTTTTGGGGATATAAATAGAAGGTAAGTACATTAACTTAAAATATTAAGACATTTAAAATCATGCTATTTGAAGACACCTTTCATTAGGACAAATTTCATAAGAAGACAATCTCTTTGAAACTAATTTCTTATTTGTGGTATTTCTCTTTTAACCTCATTAACATAAGCCTAAAAATACAGGTCTATATATTGCATTAATGTAGGAATTCGGTCTCTTTTATTATTGTGTATCTAGCACTTCATAAACAGTCTTCAGCATAATAGATATTTAAAATAGTTTTGAGTAGATTTAGTTATAGAACTCCTCAGTGCTCAATAAAATAAATGCTCACTTAGATATCATGCATAGTAATAAGCCTTTTAGTTTTTTTATCATCACTTGATTAAATTGTACTTAATTATTCTGTCTGTGTGGCTTTAGCTTAGTTTCATCTCATGTATAAAATCACTGCCACATCAAATTATTTGCATTATAGATTTTCCAAACGTATTTCTATGTAAACATACACACACAATTTTCGCATTCAAAAGTAGTTTTTCTATAAATGGGTTGCAGGAGAGAAAGTACTAGAAATTAGTAAGTGACATTTTAAAATAATTTAAGTAGTGATAATCATGCTATAGAACTGCTCATTTTAAGGAAGCCTTCCTTGACTCCTATCAGCTCATTTCTCTCCCTTCCCCCAATTGTGGGCTAAAACTCCTGGAAAGGATTGTTTATATGTTAAGTGTCTTCACTTCCTCCCTCCCTCCTAATCTCTTTTAAACCTACCCCAGTCAGGGCTCATAGTTTTTCTCCACTGAAACTACACTTATCAAAGCCACCATACACTTTCAGTTTATGAAACCCAATGGTGAGTTCTCAGTCCTCAACTTACTAGATCTCTCTGTAGCTCAGGACCCATTCAACCACTACTACCTCATTCTTTAAACAATTTCTTCATGTGGCTTCTGAGGTTTATACTCTTCTGGCTTTCCTTCTACTTACTGGCAGATTCTTCTAAGTTTACTTTGCTGGATCCTTTCCCTTTTCTGGACATCTGAATATTGATGGCTGGTAGAGTTCAGATCTATGGCTTCCTTTCAACTATATCTACATTCCTCTTCAAGACAATTTCATTCAAATATATTGCTTTAAACAATATCTATATATTGGTGCTTGGCATATTATTATCTCCAACTCCAATTTCTTCCTTGAGACTAACATATCTAACTGGCTAACTGACATCTTTTGTGCATCAACTTAGTTCAAGCTTGGTTATGTCCAAAATCGAACTCTTAATTCCTCCCCCATCCAAATAAATCCTTTCCCAGTCTTTTCCATGTCAGTAAATGGTACCATCATTCATCCAGTTGGTCTTTCTCTCATCCCACATCTAATCTACCATCAAGACTTCCTTGCTTATATACAAAAAGTGTTCTGAATCTAACCAATTTTTCCCAGTTGTTACTGCTCTTGTCCAGGCCACTATGATAATTCATCTAGACTACTACTGCAAAGGCCTCAATAGGTCTCCTTGCACCTTCATTCTTTTTGCCAACATACTACCTCTTCCCCTGCCCCTAGTATTTTCTTTACTGAGCAGAGTGATCTTTGTGAAAAGTAAATCAGAGTCATCATTTTCCCTGCTCAAAATAACAAGGCTATCTACCTGGCTATCTACCACCCCTCTAACTTCATCTTCTACCCTCTCCTTGTTCCCTCAATTAAAATGGCAGTCTGGTGATTTCTCAAAGAAGCCACTCTTGTTCTTTCCTTAGGGCTATTGGATTTGCCACTCCTTTACTACTGGAACAGTTTTCCCTTAGACCCACTTGCATGGCTCCCTTCTCTTATGTCATTAAGAATGTTGATCAAATGTCACTTCTTCAGAGACAGTTTCCTTGACCAACCCCTCTATCTAAAATAATGCCATAACTCTTCCTATCTCCCACCATTGCACCCTCATACTGCTTTTTCTTCATAACCTGTATCAATACCTGTGATATATTTTATTATCTCTCCATCCGCAAAACATTAGCCCAACGGGATCAAGGACTCTGAAGTTCATTGATCTATCGCCAGGATCTAGATCATTCCTGGTTCACAGAAGATGCAACACATTTATTGAATAAAATGAATATTTTATTATAAGGTTTCTTTATAGTTTCTTTCTACAAGGCTTCCAAAACATATTTCAAATGATCTAGATTTGAAAAAAAAAATTTTTATACACAATTTGAGGAAGAGGCAAATAGTCTGAGACACATTTTTATTATTTAAAGGAGGATGAACCCTGAAAACAAATTTCAACATATTTCATTATTAAAACATATACTGAAATCTCTCACCATACTTGCCTGCTTTTCTAATAAAGACTATGACTTACACAATTGATAACATTCTTCAATTGTACAATTTTATTTTATGGGTTCTACTTCCTGTAATGGCTGAATAACACCTACCATACCAAATCTCTCATGAATAACAACTATAAACAGCAGAAATGCATAAAAAACTACCTGAAGGCAGAAACAAATTGGGGGAGGGAAGAAGAAGGGGTCAGCACTTGGAAGAAGGAAACAGCAAGGGTAACTTTCTATTTTTAATGGCTTTTACTCAGAGAGCAGGTCCCAATTAGTTTGGGTAGCTAAAACTCAGACCTGCAGTCTTACTTGCTTGATGAACCAAAAAGGACAGACGATGGCACAATCGCAACAGCTGAAAGCTTAGTGAGTAGATCACAGGAAGGAGAGAACCACAGAGAGGAAGCCCTAAATTCTGTGCATAAACTCTGCATATATCTTTGATCTCCAAACTATACATACGTATGACAAATTCCATTCAAGCAGCAAGGATAAGGTTAAAATAACTGAACTGAGATTTCAGAGCTTATACTTTAAGTGTAGTCAAGTTATCTGGCTTGAAACAGGTAACAAACCAAACACCAGTACTCACTGGAGGAATACAGAATCCAGAGTCTCTACGTGGCATTCATAATGTCCTAAATAAAACCCAAAATTGTTACACATAAACAGAAAAAAAATGACCCATACTCAAGAGAAAAGGCAACCAATGGAGACCAAGCCCAAGATGAGCCAGCTGCTAGAATTAGCACATAAGTATTTTAAAGCAGCTATTTTAACTATGCTAAAGGATATAAGTGCAAATATGCTTGGAACTCTCAGCAAAGAAATGGAAATTATACATATATAAAGCAAATAAAAAATTAAGAACTAAAAAATAAAATATCTGAAAAACTTCACTGGGTAGACTTAACCATGGATGGGAAATGGCAGAGTCAATGAACTCGAAGACAAAGCAATAGAAATTATCCAATCTGAAGGATGAATAGAAAAGTGACTATGGGTAGTGGAGAGGAGAGAAATAGAACCTTAGGGATCCGTGGTAAGGTATCACAAGTTTTAATATACCTGTAATTGGAGATTCAGAAGGAAAGGGAAAAAAGAATGAAGTAGAAAAAAAATGTGAAGAAATTAGGGCTAAAAATTTTGTTAGTAAAATATATACATTTACAGATGTAAAATATCAGCAAATCCCAAATAGAAAAAAACAAAGACTACACACAGGCACAAGACAGTCAAACTGCTAAAAACCAAAAAGAAAATCTTGAAAACAGCTAAAGAAACAGAATGACAATAATTCAAGTGAATGATGACTTCTCATCAGAAACAATGGAGGTATCAGAAGATAGTGAAATGACGTAACATAAGTGCTGAAAGAGGAAAAAACCAAACTGTCTATCAACCCACATACTATATCCAGCAAAAGTAAACTTTAAGAGTGAAAGCAATATAACTATTTGAAAATGTAGCCTTTGTGGAGCAATAAGTCATTTGTAAGGACAGCCCAAACACATTACTGAAACAACTGGTATTTACTAAATTTCAAAATAAAAACCAAGAAATACCTTATGAACTTACTCTGTAAAATTATTTCTCATAATAAACAGACACACATTTCCTATGTTAAGATGCAAAATAACCCCTCTCCTGAGAAAAAGAATAAAGAAATCATACTTTATAAAATGTTTGCAGCAATAGGTATAAAGTTTTGGCATCTAAACTTCCACCAGCTAAAATGATCTAGGAGGGTTAATTCCTTAAGGATTCTAAATAGCAGAGTACATACAGTACTACAAAACATAAGTAAACATATTGGAAAGGTTTATAAAATGTGCCATATTCTTTCCTTTCTTAAACAATTTTTGATTTCTCAGTAACTACAACAGTGAAGAGTACTAGGCACTGGTTAATGGCTCACTCAG